CACTGTGTAGGGCACACTTATCCAATGCTATGCACATTTCCACTCCGAACAATTCCCTCTGCTCAGTGAGTTAAAGTAAATCTATTATTAGACAGTAATGTATGATATATTAGCAAGGCTAATGTGAAAGTGGAATGTTTTCCAGTGTGGGTACAATGCATTAAACACGTACTGCTTCCGCCTGATATGACCTAATGATTTCTCAGTTGCTGTGTTGGAGTGAATGGCAGCATTTTGAGAGAGCACTGCTGTCCAGTGGACCCCACCCCCATTTTCCTAGGAAGACCCTTCCTGATGAACCCCTGTGCATGGTACCAAGACACACATTTAGTGGAAGATTGCAAGAATGAAGGAAAATCTTGTGTGAAAGTGTTTGTCGCACAGTAGACGAAGTAAGGAATCCAGTGATGGGGTTCAGGCAGGGAATCCCAGCTAAGGGGGCACGGATTGATTGGTGAGGAAGCAGCCGGCTGAGGTCTAGGCTTGATTGGTCTGGCCTGTGTGGTGGGAACTCAGTAGCAGTAGGTGCTTGGGCATGTATGGTACTTGAGGTGCTCATGGTCAGGCAGCCTGGGAATCTGCCACGCTTGTCTTACTGCTCCTGACAGCTCAAGACATCTGGAGGTTTGGTGGAGCGGGGTTTGTGTTGTCGTCGTCCCCAAGCACACATTTATGGTGTTTAATTACCATCTATTCAGTCATTTCTGTGGCCCTAAGTTGAAATATAGTGACTGCATCATGCATCTGAATCAGATCCAAAGGCTTTGGAAAGCTTCAATCTACTGAAGTATTGCAGAATTGTTCTCGACTCATGTTTTAAAACTTGGTCTAAATTGTTGCGCTGTGTGTCCTCGGTCTTGGCTTTTCAATGAAAACGCACTTGTGCAGGTTCTGGAGGACACTACAGAGGGATGTGTGTTCTCAAAACAACCAGGAGAAGCTCACAGCTTTGTCGGTGGGCAGAGGTTACTTCAGTTTTAGACTGGCTTTCCCCACATGTGTGCAGACCACTGCAAGGTTGAATGATTCGTTCTTAATATCATAAGTGTCTGGAAGTATGCACTTTTTTTTTTCTCTTTCAAATCTTTCTGCGCCTGAATTTAAGCTCTTTACTAATTGTAATTGATTTTTATTGACAATTGCTTCAATGGTACATTTTTTTTGCAACCTTAAATGTATCAAATGGACCATCTCTCCCTCAAAAAAGCCATGATGCTAGTTCCTTCATGGGTTAATCAGCTAGTAAATGTATAACTTTTATGTGATAAAGTGGACGGAACCTGGAGTTCAAGACTTGGAAATGGACTAGTTCAGGGGTGTCAAACTCATTTTAGGGTGAGGGCCGGATGAGAAGAAAATGTGACCATGTGCGGGCCGAATTTATTATTATTTTTTTTTTAATCATAGTGCATCAAATTACAACAAATGCACTATATTCTGTAAAACTGCATTTAACAAGTCCTCAGGAACTGTTCATTAACACTCATTCCTTTTTAATACTACTACTACTAATAATAATGATGATAATAAAAAAGATTTGATATTTAATACTATTGTTCAAATCATCCCGCGGGCCGTATTGGACACCATAGTGGGCCGTATTCGGCCCGCGGGCCGTATGTTTGACACCCCTGGACTAGTTGGTCATTGACCTTCCTTAGCTTCTCACCCTGCCTTGGTGTTTAATGTAGTATAGCTGCTTTTCTGCCACTAGTGTGTTGTTGCAACCTGCTGCACTAAATTTCCCAAAGCAACTCCAGACTAGGGGAAAATTAGCCATTCCAGGAAAAATCTGGAATTCTCAGAAGCCACTGAGGGAAAACTTTTGGAAATTTCACACAAGATACAGAGAGAGCACTAATGTTTACCTTTATTCATCTGAATGCATTTTCTTTCCCACTACAAATCAGCTGTTAAGTTTTCTGTGGTAAACTGAACGTACAACTCAAGTTTCACACAGCTATGCCATGATAGATTAACTTTTATTCTACTAGGCTTAATAGCTTAACCTGGTTTAATGAGTAAACACCCTTGCTGTGGGTTCCTTAATAATGTCACCGCGCTGCTTTCGTTGCCGTGTGTGCGTGCAGTGCCCATCTGCAGTACACCTGTGTTCAGGTCAGTTCAGAGGAGGCTCTGCTTTTTTTGTATGGAATGGTGAATGGAAAGTGGGTGGGTGAATAGTTCAGCTTCTTCAAATGAGCCTTCTGGTGGGAGCGATGCCCAGTATGGTTCACGGCTACGTCTTGGCTTCTCATGAATAAAAGTCGGCAAGACCTGAGATTTTTGGCTCTTTGAGTCAGACGCGGTGCTTGAATGCCACTGTACGTTAAAGTGCGCTCCTTTGTGAAGGCTAGCAGATGTCACACTGGCCATCTGCGCCCACAAGATGGACACTGCTTTACAGTCACTCCCGATGACAGGCCCAGCTGGTCAAGCTCCTGGTTACAGTTTTTAAGCTCTCAAATGTTCATTCATTAGATGCAAATGTTATCCGTTTCAAAGCAGTCTTTGAAAGATCTCAACAGGGATGGAGGAGTGAGGTTCTATTTTTTGAGGTTCTGTTTTTGGGAGAAATCAGTTTTGTAGATTTATCCCCTGCAGTTCCTCTGTATAATAAGTTATGCCAAGAGCATGGGACCCATGTCCAGTTTTTACCTTTATTTTCTCCTCCTCTTGGCCATGAGTTAGTTGACATTTGCAAATACCTGTTATCTTTGTGTTGGTGTTTTGTGTGTGTTTTGGTCTGGCAAATACAGAGACTGTCTGTTCAGCCTATTCAGAGCCTGCATGTATTAAATTCAGCGCAGGACTGTTTACACTCTGGATAAAGACTCATTTACAAATTCAGTATATAACTGTTGCCACATCAGTGCTGGGAGAATGCAGATAGCAAAGCCCACGCATTCTGGAATGAAGCTGTCAAGTGCTGTGAAGTGTTAGTGCCACCTGGTGGTAGGTCATTCTAGCCCCTCAAGAATAACAGTAGATGTAAAATAAATATTGATAGCGTCAATATGTGTTTTGAATTGTGTCAGTAATTCAGGCCTCTTTGCATAAACAATAGCTGCAGTCTTTTGTGTTCTGTACACTCTATGTGTAGAGTTCCATTCCCACTTAAGCAGTCGTATGGATGGGACTTGTAAAACCATGACCTTTTGAATTTTGCATACCTCCACTATCATTGTAACTGACACTGGCCAAGCTCTACAGTTTCAGTGCTGGGGGAGCATTCCTGTGTTAACAGCCAGTTTAAAGGTTTATTCCTGACAGATTCACTTTAATGTCTTCCATATTGGGCTTCATGCTCGATTGGGTAGGCCATGTTTATTTTAACATTGAATACAGCAGCTGAAATATGTATGATCCTCTGAGGATGTGCTGGCAGCATATTTGGAAAGGGGAGGAAGCAAGTACTTCAGCCGATAACTTGGGAGTTTGGAATTTCTCAGCCGTGAAATATCATCCGCTGAGTTTCATAATTGTTACTTTTCCTTAAAAGTTAAATTCTCCTTTGAGAAATAAGTAAATGTCCCGTGCTTTTGTTTCTTTGAGATAGGCAACACATTTCTGAAAGCTTGAAATGGGCTTTGTGGGGTCAAAGTTCAAAGATCAAGGTTCACTGTGACTGGGACAACCATTCTTAACTAAGCTTCAAAGGAATTCCTGTGTAAGTCTTAAGTCTCAGAGCGGGAAATTGGGGAGTGCCATTTCTCGGGTGGGTACTTTTGGGGTCCTTGTAGGAAAGACATGGTCTTCTCTTTAAGTGTATTCAGGTCTTCAGTTTTTGTGTGCATATACATCATTATATTGAGTCTGAATATTGAAATGTCTCAGGCTCGCTGTTGTACGTGGCCGCAGGTTTGCAGTGAGTGCAGGAAGCAGCAGGCTACGTTCTGAGGAAACACACGGTGACATTCCTGACACTTATTGTTCATTGTTCTTTGTAACTGGGTGTCCTTTGCCCCCCCTCCGCACTGTCTCATGCTGGTGATGTCACCTGCTGTCGGGAAATCGCCGTCTGGTCCTTTCCTGAGCTTCCAGGATCAGAACGTCCATCTGGTTCATCCTGATAGTAGGTCTGACTCGTGCTTGTAGGCCAAATAAAACACTTTGTGATTATAGCCTGTGCATAGACTGTCCTTTAACGCTTTAATGTCGAGACCCTTAACTCGTGTGGATCGCTGGTGCAGGATGTGATTGTGGTGGCCGTTCGTGCTGTGGTTCTAAGGCTGGTTTTGGGTCCTATCATTTAAGCCTTTTTGTGACAGACCAGTTCTCGCCCTTCTTCGGTGCTTGGCCTAGTTTGCCCTGCATGTCTGCTCTGCCCAGTCTGCTTCCGTCAGTGAGTTCCTGTGCTGTCAGGCCAGGTTCTGGGTGCCGGCGCTGACAGTAGCTGCTGTCTGCTTGTGGGGATAAGCAGCGGGGGGGGGTCACTGAGACCACTTAATGACCTGTGCGGCCCTGGTTGGCACAAGCTGTGCCGACTCGCTATGTACAGCGCCCCCCGTGGCTCTGTTGGAGTTTACAGGGCATATGCCCTTCTCGCTGTCCATCTGAGATGTTTTATGGGATGTCCTGGTTTATTGCACAGACAGATTTTGAGGTTCTGAAGCAGACCTGTGAGGGTAGCCTGCTGGATTCATCCCAAGTCTGGGAAAATGCCAACCAATCACCGGCTCCTTTTTATTATTGTGAGTAAGAAGGAAGTAAGACTCAATGGAAAAAGGGCTTTCAGTGATCAGGGTTGGGTCACGCTGGTTGCCTGTCTGAGACAGTCTGGCTTCGGTGGGGGGGGGGGTGATGCCAGCCTGAAACTGTAGCCATTGTAGCGTTGACAGTTTTACGCTGAAGCCACTTTAAATGGGGCTTCTGAGACAGCAAAGCAAACCGTTCATGCCTGTGTGAGCTTGGTAAATCACTCACCTCTCTTGGGTTCAGGACACCAAGCAGTGCAGAATGACGAGCTCACCACACATCCTTTCTGTTTATGCTTTCAGGATCTGGAGTTCCACGGCGTGATGCGGTTCTACTTCCAGGACCGCGTGGCCGGCAACTTCGCCACAAAATGCATCCGTGTCTCCAGCACGGCCACCACGCAGGACGTCATCGAGACACTGGCTGAGAAGTTCCGACCTGACATGAGGATGCTGTCCTCGCCCAAGTACTCTCTGTATGAGGTCCATGTTAGCGGCGGTGAGTTACGGTGTCACGTTATAAACATACAGCCTTAAGGTCTGTATAAATGCGCTTTTGTACAGTTCACGAATGTTTATGCATAGAATTTCTCATCTGTGCCAGATTTATATGATGCTGATGTGCCTCTTCTCTGTGCCTGACAGAGGAACGAAAGCTGGATCTAGATGAGAAGCCCCTGGTGGTGCAGCTCAACTGGAACAAGGATGACCGGGAAGGCCGCTTCGTTCTAAAGAATGAGAATGACATTGTCCCCAAGGTGAGCTCACTTGGACTCTGACCAGACCTCCCCCTGAGAGGTAGGGCTGGGCATGTTGCCGGATGCCCGTTGCCTGTGGAGCCCACCGTGGACCAGAAGTGAAACGCTACCAGTGCTGTTTCTAGCCCAGAGACCATGCTGCCTGCTCTCTGTAGAGTTTGGCCTTTCCCTTAAGGCCTGTTTCTGATGGTGTTTCCTCTGTTTTTGCGCTACGTACTGGGCTGTGGAGCAAGTCTCTCAACTTCTATAAAGCTCCCCCGTAAAGCATTGTGGGCATGTGATGTGCCTGGGGGCAGGACATCCCAGTTACTTCCCGGTTGGCGTTGGCTGGGAGCAGAAAATAGAGAAGGCAGTTGTAAGTACAGTCCTCATCTGTGGCTTTTGGATTGCTTAGTGGACCAGCAAACCGAAACTAAATGAACCCATATGAGCAGCAGGTGGTTTCTCACTAGAATCCCGGTTCTCTGCTGCTGTGGCCTGTAAGTGAGGCTTCCATCGGCTCATTAAATATCTAGGTGTCTACCTGGATAAAATGAATGATTGTGTAAAACCACCTGGTCAAAGCAATGACAATGGACCATCTGTCGGCCCCAGTTGTTGGGTGGCATTAAATGTTGACGGTGTTCAACGGTTACATTTTTGCAGTTCCTCTTGATGGTAGTAGATCTGATTTATATGTAATTTTATATTCCAATGCTCTTTTTGTGTGTGTGTGTGGGAGAGAATGCTCCTGAAACCAATTCCGTGTTTTTGTCTTGCTGCATGGATGGAGGTCGTATTTTTTTTTCCTGCGGGTTCCCGTTTGCCAGACGTAACAGAGCACGGCTGCTTCAGCTGATCTTTTTCATACCTGCCTTTTCTATTTAACACAAGGCTTCTGAAAACCATTCTGAGTGGCAGCCCGCTGATCACTTTCTTTTTTTTTTTTTTAAGCTTGTGAATGTTTTGTATTTGTGGAAAATTAAAATTTATGATATTTCTACACTGAAATACATGGTGTTTTCTGTATGCTGAGTCTGCAAAAGATGTTCATGGGGCTTGATCTTTAGCTGCTGCCCCATGTCGCTGTGAGGGTCTTTCAGCCGAAGTAGGCCCCCTAGATATCCAAACCCTCCCATCATGCACAGCATGCAAATCCCGTTAATCACCTTATCTGGCTGGATACAAGCTGTTTTCACTCATCTCGTTTCCCCCGTTCCTCACGTAGAGGACGCAGACTAACGGGCCAGAGAAGCAGGAGAAGGAGGGGGTCATCCAGAACTTCAAACGGACACTGTCCAAGAAGGAGAAGAAGAAGGAGAAGAAGCGGGAGAAAGAGGCCTTTTCTCGTATTCCTGATGGGGACGAGAACATTCCAAGCAGGGAAGATGGGTAAGAGCCATAGACCCCCCCAGGACTCATTGGTCACACACCTAACCTGAGTGTGCAGCACAAAATCAGTCATTTGTGGCTGTTGTGACTCGTGTGTCGCTACATGCTGGGTCATGGGAAAAATATGCTGGTGATTGCTTGGAGAACAGCAGACGTGTGGTGCATTGAAATCTGAATTCCTGACTTGGCTTTGGGACAAAAGCTGAAATGGCGAAATCGCGTCTGCTGTGCGGCCAGCTCTGGCATCTGCGGGAAACGTGAGGGCCAGTGAAAGTGCACAAGCTGCAGCCTTAAGCCAATCAAGCGACAGCTGTCCCACAGGACTTGGTGGGAGTAGGGCTATTGGTATTCTCTGGGTCTGGGAGTAGAGTATTGTTGAATATGTATGATCATCTTTCTGCCCCATCTCCAGGGAGAACTCCAGGCTGGCGGCTGAGGTCTACAAAGACATGCCAGAGACAAGCTTCACACGTACGATATCCAATCCTGAAGTGGTGATGAAGAGGCGGCGACAGCAGAAGCTGGAGAAGAGGATGCAGGAGTTCCGCAGTAGCGACGGGCGGCCGGATTCGGGTGAGGCTTGGTGGTCCCTTGACCTCCTGAGCTTCGACCTCAGACTATAACTTGAACGCTATTTTCTAGTTGTGCACTAATTGGGATGCTCTGTCTCAAGGACCTATGAAATGAAGCTGGTTTGCATTGACTGTCTTCCTTTCGGATTGATTTGGGGTATATATATTGATGAGCCAGGTTTCGAGACATGGCTGACCAAGTGACCTTGGGCAACTGAGTGGTCTCGCTTGTGTCTTTGGTATCCACTTTGCGCTAAGTTCCATTTGGTCAGGCTGGTACCTGCAGTTAGGTAATACCAAGCGATGAGTGCTGAATTGTATCAGCAGCTGGTCCAGATGAGAATCTATGTACTGGAACCTTTAAAATGGCCAGCCTCCTTTCTGTAGCTTTTGGTGTGGGACTGTGTTCTGGAAAACCTTCACGTGCACATGCACTGCCTCAAAGCCATGGGTTTGTCTGGTCCTGTTTGTAGCCAAGCAGCCTCAGACCGGTTTCAAGCTCTACTTGGGCACTGGCCCGTAAACCGCACAGATCGCGGAGCTTATGTAACCGTAACGATTAGTGCGCTGGCCACAGGGACTTGAATATGCCACCCTTTTCCACCCACGTTCCTCAGCTGTCTTGAACAAGGCAACATATGAAAATTACATTTAGATATGACTGTGGGTAATGGGAGTAAGTGGTGGTATAGCTCTGTCTGTCCAGTCCTTGTGTGAAGTTGTACATTAAACAAAGGTGACAGGCCTGTCTTTTTTTCCACAAGTTTCATTTATTGGTAGACAAAGTGCTTTAATGGTTTTTGAGTTTAAATTCCCCCCTTCTCTCTACCCAAAGGAGGGACCCTTCGCATCTATGCAGACAGCCTGAAGCCAAACATCCCCTACAAGACCATCTTGCTGTCCACCACGGACATGGCGGACTTTGCAGTGGCTGAGGCCTTGGAGAAGTATGGGCTGGAGAAGGAGAATCCTCGAGATTACTGCATCGCTCGGGTGAGACTCTGCAGTGCTGGGGTTTAACACTCCTCAATGTTACAATACTGTACAGCTGTTGGAAAGAATATCTGACAGTGTTACATGTGTATTTTCCTGGAAAGTGATGGCTTCAATAGGTCTGTATGGTGCCCTATGCTAAAATAATTATTGCGCTTCCTATGCTAGTGTATTCCCTTAGGCTGTGGGGGTGTGGTCACCAGTGCTATTATATTGACATTTTGGTAACTGCAGTCCTTCAGACTCTCCAGGGGCAACTCGCTCACAGCTGGAGGCTTCGTTTGTCTGTGTTGGGTGTCGGGGCTCAACATCTGGAATGAGTGATTTTTGAAGGAGGACGTCATTCCCTAATGCCTGAGTTGTGCTCTGTTGGGCCAGCAGATGCAGCTGGAGAGACATGAGCTGAGTCATACCCTCTGCAGTGACAAACGGTGACCTTCACTAGCCTTAATGGCTTCCCCTGTCAGGTCCGGCCAGAGCCAATCACACTGCTAGCTCCTTTGATTCCTCCTTACGCAAAGACCTCTCTGCTATGCACCCTCCTGTGAATGGTCACTAATGAAGCCCGAATGTAATGCACTTCTGCAGCGGCCCTTTGTTATATGCTGTACTGCCGTATTTCATCTGTTCAGGATGAACTTCTCAAATGCCCTCAGCCAAGTGATGATTACATTTTTGTCTTTGCTGTTCCCCTTGTCCTTGACTATATGATGAAGTGATGTCATTGACATTCATGGAATATGACGTGGAAGGTTCCCTTGGTTCTCTCTCCTGCTAGAACAGGGTCAAAACTGGTTTGGGGTTGGGGGGGGTGGTCCAGAGCAACATGCATGTTTAAAACTTTCATGCTTAACTGGAAATATCCAGCGGTGTGGTGAATGGGTGGAATTGAATAAGCAGTTGATGGATGAAGTAATCAAATGATTTCCTCAAGTGTGCATCCTTTCTTTGCGACTTGGACCGGCCCTTGTCCCTAACCGCTGGGCTGCCATCTGCACCCTTTTAGCATGAGTCAGGCCTCACAGCGATGTCACATCTGCCATGCGGCGTGCACCGTTTGAGATGCCGTGCTTGACTGCGAATCGGGTCGCATTAGCAAAATGAGTGGCCCTCCTGAAGTGAGCGTGGGCTGTTGGTGCCAGTGTGGGTGCCAGTGTGGTCGCCGGGGTAACCGTGTCCTGGAATGCTGTTGCTGCTGGTGGGTGTGGCTCTGTGGTTGCCGGGGTAACCGTGCCCTGGAATGCTGCTGCTGGTGGGTGTGGCTCTGTGGTTGCCAGGGTAACCGTGCCCTGGAATGCTGCTGCAGCTGGTGGGTGTGGCTCTGTGGTTGCCGGGGTAACCGTGCCCTGGAATGCTGTTGCTGCTGGTGGGTGTGGCTCTGAGAGTAGTCTGCTTCCCTGGCCTGTAGGTGGTGCTGCCTCCTGGATCTCAGCAGTCCGATGACAAGGCAGGAAAAGAGACCATCCTGGATGATACAGAGTGCCCCCTGCAGATCTTCAGAGACTGGCCCAGTGACAAAGGTACCACTTTTGGGGGGGGAGGTGTTGGGTACTTGATTGATGTTATATACAGCTGGCCTAGAACTGTCAAGCTTAATTTTTATTCTCGCCAAAGTCTTGCAATGTGTGTGTTTTCTAAACTAACTGCATACCAAGAGTTCTTAGTACTTTTGCATTAGTGTTTCCCAGACTTCCTCTTGGATGATGGGCAGTTTTCATCTTCGCCCCATGAAACCCCTGCTAAAGCTGAATTCATCAGGTGTTTTGGGGATTAAATATCTTGGGTTCCTCACTGAGCAGGTTGGAGCCAGCTGCCGTGGAGACGTTTCACACACGAGGTCCTTCTTGTGACGCCCTCTTCTGATGGCTCTGAGGGATTGTGTTGCAATCTGTCCTCCTAGGTACCTTAGTGTTCCAGCTGAAGAAGCGACCTCCAGACTACATCCCGAAGAAAGGTCGGAAACCCGAGGACAAGACTCTGCGGGGGAAGTCCATGGAAAGTTGCCTGGCCCCCGAGAAGATGCCCTACCTAGTGGAACTCAGCCCAGGTGTGTACAGGGGGGAGGGTGGGGGGGGGGTTTGTGTGCAGGGAACAAAAGCTCAAAACGCACATCTGCATGTGTAGTGAGATCCCTGTGAATTACCCTTTCCCTCACACATAGGCCTTTCCCCTGCCTATGTCCCAGTCTTTTAATTAGATGTTTCAAACTATTAAAATGTTAATGGATAAATACTTCCAAGTATTTAAAATGTTTAAAAAAAAACAAAAAACGTTACTTGTCATTACCAAAGCAGTCATCAGAAAACAGGCCAATAAAACAACCTAACATGGAAACCAGCATTCTTAAAATTCACATTATTTTTTTAAATATTTCACTTTGAACCCCTCTCCCTTTCATATATTTACATAGGCCCCCACTGAAACGATTAGATTGCCTCATTAGATGCCCGTCGATATTCCCAATCTGACTGGCACTGTGTTTTTTAGCCTGGGCACCCTTGTGTGGCATGGGACAGCTGAGCGTTAGCTGGCTGCAGTATGCGGACATGTGCCAGAGTAATACGTGGCATCACAGCTGTGCTCAAAGGAAGTGTGGCTCATTGGCATCGGTGTGCTAGAGTGGCTTATGTACGAGTCGGGGGGGGG